ATAGTATTTAAAATATTAACCAGATACTTTTTTTATTAATTATAAGCTATTTTGTGAACCAATGTTTGTTTGGACGCAATCAGGATACAAGGATACTTATATTTGGGATAAAATACAACTACCTGTATTCGGGCCGCAATCGAGAAACTCCGTATAAAACATACCTTTTCCCTCTCACTGCATAAGGCATATAACTCCACTGATATCCATAAAGGCAATGATTTGTCTTTAATTATTTCAACACATTCAGTCAAAACATCCATTGCATTTCTAAACATATCACGGCCAAGATAATATTGAACCAACTTTAACCACATCTCAGCATTGTCGGATGAAATTGTTAGTCCTTTCCTCAATATCGCTACTGTAGCGGCTTTGTTATTACGACGTTCTGCCTAAATAAATAAATAAATATGTTATTTTAATAGATATATAAGATTAAACTAACGCCTTACCCAAAAAGTAAAATGTCTGGGCTGTTTCATGGTATTAATGGAAAATGCTTTATCAAACGTTACATCAATTATTTTATTTACAAATACATTATTGTCTTTATAGTCTTGATCAAGTGAACTATATATATCTATGATAGTATCCAAAAATAAATCCCATAAATTTTGTTGGTTTTCAGGAGGTAAACCATCAGTTAATGCCTCATTATAGGTATTAATACAGTTCCTAAAACTAAATATTTTAGTACCAAATAATTAAATTTTAATAATAAATTATATTCTAACCTTATAGAAATATTTAGTTTTATGTTCTCCAATTTGTGTAAACTTTCTGTGTCGTAGTTGTAAACAAAACCCTTTAAATGAATTTTAGCTAATTTTTGCCACATAAGCTCATTTTTTCTGTATTGATTAACCATATCCCTATACAGTTGATTATTACATACTGATCAGTTTTAAGTTAATAATTTGTCTATACCTGATAACTATACACTGTAATTGTGTCATTTTTATGTGATTATCTAAAGTTATGTCCACTAAATCAAAATGTAGATTTATGTCATCTTTGAAATGCTGAATGATACAGTTATATTTATTTAAAGCGGTTTGAAGAGAAGAGCCTCCTGTTTGGTTTAAATGCTTAACTTCTATCCAAAAATCTTCAATATACAATTTTTTGAAATCTTCATGAAATTTCATTCCATTAGAAATGTATCGCCTGGCAGATTCTACGTCATTACAATCATTAAAAGCATGTTGTGCACCAGTTATGTATATCTCAGGATCACTATGAGATGAATCCATTATACCATCCAATACAATTTTGTAGTTTGTAGTTAATTTTTGCTGAAATAATAAATATTTTAACCAGTATACTTCTYATTATATAATTTCATAACTTAATTGTATAGGAAAGTAAACTAATCTAATACTTTTTTAAAAAAACTTAATAAATATCTAAAAATATAAGTACAGCAACAATTTGATAGCTATTTCATAATTATTTATTGTATTTATTTATTTTTAAGAGGGGGGCGGTCTTATAAACTTGAAAATTCTTTTAAGGCCTAATAGAGCCTAATATAGATAATATACATATATTGTAATACAATGGCGCCACTTATTTTTATTAATGATCTCCCTCTTATTTTACATAGTTCAGTGAACATTTTGATGTTTGCTGATGATGTTAAAATTTACAGTCAAATCAAATACCAAAATTTGTTGCAATCTACTTTAAATAAATTTGTGTTATGAAGTAAAAGAAACTGTCTATCCTTAAACTATGATGAATGTAAAATTATAACTTTTTCATGCTGTAAAAGTCCTATTTTTCATAAATTTTTTATTGAAATCATTAACTATCCTCTTGAAAGATGTTCTTCTATTATAGATTTAGATATTTGTTTTGAATTTGATCTATCTTTCAGAATAAATCATAAAATTATCATAATTAAGACGTATAAAATGTTGAATTTTATTACTAGAAATACTAAGGACTTAAGAAATTGTATAATTTTAAAAATTCGTATTCTTCTCTATTTAGATCAAACCTAGAATTTGGCTCTTTAATTTGGTCCGATAATTATTCAGCTTACTTAAATGAGCTTAATAATATTCTGAAAAGAGTTGGCTTTATTACTCATTGTACAATCCCCAGAGACTCTTTCCTTTTGGTTCAAGACTCTATGTATATTGACTCTCTTAATATCAGGTTTGATTTAATAGATTTAATGTTTGTCTATCGTATATTATATAATGATTTAAACTGCCTAACCTAACCCACACGAAATTCTGATTTTTTCCATATACCTACCTAATTTTAATACAAATATTGGGAAAAATTCATTTTTTTCAAGAGCCATTTTTAACGCCAATAGAATCTTTACAGTCTAAGATTTTTTCTTTTTGTCTCGTCAAGTATTTAAAACTAAATTTTTGTTATTTTTAAAACACAGTGCCCAATTATTTATTTTTTTCAGTTTTGTTTAATAGATTAAAATTTTGTTTTTGTATTTCTCGTTATTTTTATTATTATCACTTGTCTATTAGTTTTCATATTATTGTGCCAATTCATAAATAATGTTTTTCCTCTTTTGGTAAAGGGCTTTGGTCCGTTGATTTTATATAAATATATTATATATATTCCAGGGAATCGATCGCAAGGAAACTTAATCTTTCAACTACTGAATCATTTGACTTAATTTGAGCATTATAGTTCCTATAAATGACTCATTCCTACTCATAACYCAAAAACAACTATATAATGAACAAAATTATACTTTATTTTTAGTAAAAAAAAAGTTCCCACGCGGAGTCGTACATTTGTGGCTTAAGCATGTGCGTACACAAAATTGTACGTATTCAATCAGAATGTTTATACATAATATGGACTTTTTATATTCCCTTGCTGTAATGAACACCTTAAAAACAAACCACTTACAACTCTTTTAAATTAAACTAGAGTCAAATATTTGTGACTTAAAAATTATTTATTTTATTTTCAAACATAAATTAGTCAATACTTAAGGGGCCTCATAAATGAGTATTTTCTTTGTGAAAAACTACTTTTTCTAATTTCAACGATACGTATCAACATTTATCACGAATTTCATTTTGAAAAAATATTCGGATTCTCCATAATATGTAGAAGAGATCGATCTGGCCACATTTAAAATTTTGTAATTTAGATTGCAATAAACGCTGTTGAAATTTTCGAAATGTTGAAAAATTTCAAATTTAAATATTTAATCAACTAAATAAAATTATAAAAATGTGCCTCGTACATGTTTTGGARTATAAGAATATTTTGTCAGGATGCAAATTGAGGTAGTCGTTTCRACGTATTATTGGATTTAGAATTGTCTGTTTGTATAAAAAAGACAGAATTTTATCGCGATCACAAAATTAATATCTGACATTGCATTYGTGCGAGTGCGTGCAAAATTGCCCGTATCTCTACGTAAGTATCAAAATATATATTACCGCCGTGTCGCGCCGTTGCGTTCCTAGGAAATATCAAATACCGCATCTATTTTGTAATTTGAAAATAATACCTAATAGTAAATGCATATATTTAGWTTTAATTATATCTYAATGTTTCTTAGATATATGGGTATGATARATATAATAATTGTTTTTCTATATTATTATCCGCTGCAATTGAATGTTAGCATTATCATTCTACAGACGACAAACATCCTTCAAGTTTAGTTTTTTTTAGACAACATTATTTAATTATTGTTTTAAAATGAGTCCAAGATTTGCTGCAAAATCAAAAATTCCTCCATCAAAAAGAAACAAACAGAGGATTTATAAATTCAATTAGAAACTCAATACAACTCGTAACTGTTCCTGCCGCCACTGTCATTCGTATGTGTGAAACGGTCCTGGTCTCTCGGCAAACAGAGCATATACTCTATAGCTCTTTTGTCTACTTGTCATTATACAAATGATACCATTAGTCTATATGTTAGTTAGTAATATAATATAAAGACATCAACATACGAGACGTTTCCAAATGATAAGTGCATGATTTTATTTTAATTATTCACACGGAAAAGGTGTGTTAAAAATTTTATGATACCTAAAATATTATTTTATTACCATTAATAAACGGGACTTATTCCAAGAAGATACCGCGCGATCGACGTCTAATTAYGTTCGGTTGGTTGGTGAGTGGTAAGTGAAATATTGTACTATGCGGGTTACTACTAATRAWWATYATTTACGACTAATACAACGACAAGGCTGATTACCGAATGTATAAGAAGTTGCCTATAAAATGTTCCTTTGAATCCAGTAGTATGGAGGCCCCTTAATAATACGCCTAGAAGGTCTTTTCTCACAATTTTCCTCAACAGATTAAATCCACTCATAATAATAACTATTATTATTATCTCCGTAATTTAGTTAATATTTTATAAATGATATACTAATAAATAATATAATTAGGATAAATATATGAATCCCACTTACGTAATTATAAGTCATATTCATAAAAACAAAATTATTTAAATAAAGAAACTATGGTGATTTCTCATTTCACCGACATCCAGTTCATCAATAATTATAATAAGTTATTTCAATAAAATTAATAAAACTATTTATTTGTATATCATTTATAAAATATCTCATTTCACCGACATCCAGTTCATCAATAATTATAATAAGTTATTTCAATAAAATTAATAAAACTATTTATTTGTATACATACAAAATATCTGATGTAATAAACATTAATATAATGTAATATTATATTATATTGTGATATGTACATAGGTAACTAAGTTTAAATATTGTTCAATATTTCACAACCAATATAATAGGTAATATTAATATAATACCACCGCATTTCAMKCATTTATACTTTATAATAATATTATTCGTTATCTCCACGTTTTTAGTCTATTCTGTAAATTCCAACTATAATTTATCGTTATAAGTAAGTCCAGATTTTTTCCTACTTAATTTTAACTCATAACATAACGATGAAAAAAATTAAATTAATAACATATATATCTGACCCTTATTATAGTACAAAATGCTTAAGTTCACGTTAAATTAGGTTATTTGATTTGTATGTTTTTTAAATTGTATTGCTGGGTATGTCAAGAACTTGTATAAAATCATTGTTGTCGACGATTTAGGTATTTTTTCAAAAACCATTAATAACTGTTTTTATGTTCAATAAATCTGTCGCAAACTGGGCATAAACCATAAATATATAAGATTAAATTAGAAAAAAATATCTTAAGTAATAAATTTCTATTAATTCAATAGTATAATAAAATATACACTGTACAAACTACAAAATTAATTAATAAGCGTTAAAATACACAATTTAATTTTACTTACATTTTTCAAACAAAATTGAATATATTTTGAAACCAAATTTACATCAAATTTGAACGTCTTAAAAATTAAAATGTACATATCGTGTATCCGATTGGATAAAATAGTTTTAATTTCTGATTTGAAATTCTTAATGTCAGGTTCTTTCATTATTTGCTACACATAAAAAAAAA